ATGGCGCTATGCATGTGCCTTACCTGGAACGTAATCGGCTTTCGTGGAAACAAGGGGTCAGCTCAGTTCGGGTCAAGCTATAATTGATTATCAATGGAAAGATCACATACGATTTAAAGAAGTCGCGCGAAATGAGATATGATCACAAAATACATTTCAAAAATTTCTAATGTAAATTAGTGAGTCCATGGATGAACTGGTTCGTCACGGTGTTCATCATGATCTCAGACTGTTTCAAGTTGTAGTACTTATCATGCTGGGAGGGCAAGGGGGGTAGCTGGTACAGGTTGCAGGAAAAAAAAGGCATTTTACGTTTTTACAAAAATAAAATGAAAGTTACATTCACAGTAAAAAATATTTTTTTACACTTTACAGATAAAGGAAATTTCTACATTTTACACGTTTATAATATATTTGATAATTTGTATTTAGGAATCAAAATTGAAAATTGCGTACGAATTATGACATTTAATGTGGACAATGCTTTATAAACTGACAAAAAATAAGATGTTTGTACAAATTACGGATAAAATAGCTGATTACATTTTACACATTGCCCATGTCTACTAGTACGCATTTAAAATTCTTATTGATTTAATTACATTACAAGACACTTCCGCGATGGGCGTCTTTCGCGGTCAGTAATATTACGAAGATTTTTGTTCATTATTTTATAATGTAACTTATTACATTAAGTTACATTATGTAACTTCATGTGGAAATTCATATGAGATTTAAAGTTCAGCTCACAACTGACGGTTTTGCAATATTAAGGGTTATTAGGGACTGCAAGATTTTTTTTTTAAATATTGTATTCACTAACATTTATTTTGTATTTATATTTGCCATGAGTTCCACAGTATCTTTTTTTGTTTTTGTTTTGTCGATTATTGTCAGTTGATTGTTTTGTGTTCTTGGAAATTTGTACAAAAATCAACAACGGTTAATCAGGTATATTATTTCCGCAGTATTTGCGTTTTTTTTTAGTTTCGCTCATTCGATCTGTTAACGAAATCGAACATTTCCAAGCACCTACCGAGTTCTGTGATGCTATTGTTCAGATGTACACGGAACGAGTCGCTTTCAAAAGTACGCAAACACGAGAGTTCACTTCTCGCGAGATCTTAATCGTATGCAAGTATGGTTCCGAAAGTTGCATGCCCTTATCTTATTAATCCTTTGTATAATATGCTTTATTTCAAGGTAATGTGGACGAACCGGTCATTGACACCCTGGCCAAGATGACAACTGGCAAAGTGTTGTACTGTGCCATCGACCCGACAGCGCGTACCTGCAAAAGTTCCGAGAATTGGCTCTCTCAAGATCGGACAATTGGCAAAACGTAGAGATTGAATTCAGAGTAGAATCTATGGAAGAATACTCTGACGTATGGGACAAGCGTCAAATACAAGACAAGTTCAATCTAATTTTTGCATCCTATGTTATCTATCATTTCAGAGATGTGAAAGCAACATTGGTAAAGATGGATGAAATGTTGGAAACTAATGGGATGACGTATTTTAAGATTAATTCTGGTGAGAAATCGGTCCTGATATATTTAAAGGGCGGTGATCGTCACATCGCGTCCTGTTCGACATGAAACTTATAGCAACGTACACAACGCGAGTACAATACTAGTAGTACTATCAGGGGGAAATTCTTCTCCACGGGGTTCTCCACACTTGTCAGGGGGGAATCTCGTCTCGTCTCTATATCTCGTCCCCTTGAGGTGCGGGATCGGGAAGGTCACTTAAGCTTTACAGTCAAATAAGACACACACAACGAAATACGGTTCAACTCTCGTCTTAGTCAGTCTGTGGAGCACTCTATAATACACAGCG